ATTCACCGACATTGGCGAATTGCGCAGAAAAAATTGAAATATATAAAAGCAAATTGCATGATTCATGCATCAATTCTAGAGATTCTGAAGGGTTGCCTTCGGCCTGGAAATACTTTATCAAACGATTGGACAAATCTTAATTTATTGCGGCGATTTTAATATTTTTTCGCATAAAGTGCATTTCACTGAATTTCTATATAACGTTTTAATATTTAGTTAACCTATGCTTATTTTTTCGTATACATTTTTTGTTATTTGTAACAATAATTTTTATTTATTTTATTAGTCTGTATACATTTATATATATATTTCGCTCGTTATTTTATTTTATTTGTATTTAAATTTTTGTTCTATTTTATTTATATTCGAATGTTCTTAGCCTGACGATGGCCAACTGATTTGGCTGAAAACGTTAGCTTTACATTAAAATTTTTTCTCAGCGAATTAAGGTGTTGTGTTTTTTGATTTTTTTGGAAATTTCTGATGAAAAATTTGTGATTCAGGGACCTACAAGAAAATCAGTAATTTTATATTTACCACCGATTCTTTTTGAAGAAACTGCAAATGGTACAGTACTATGTTCACTCTACAATTAACATTGTGTTTATTTATATGTGAACTAGTAGACGAGCCTGGCATTGCTCGGGCAAAAAGTAATGATAACAAAGATTAACATTATTAGATTATAGCTGATCTTACCCATTTTCACCGGATGCAAGAATTAGGTCCCCCTATTCAGAGACTAATTAGAAAATTTTTAAATTGGTCTAAAAATATGTTCGATTTCCTGCAAAAACACAAAAAAACTGCATCTAAAATAGTACAGTAGAAGCCAAGTTCTTCAGGATAATCTTTAACCCTCTCCTTCTCCCCCATTGAGGGGAATTTTGAAAAATTTCTTCTTAGTGTGCATTTGCATGATGTACCCTAACTGCACTCCAAATTTCAACTTTCAACTTCTAACTGTTTGGGATCTGCACTTATTATTATTATCAACCCATCTCGATTATATTATAAGATTTACAAATTGATTTACAGGTCTGTCAGACCTGAACCCTACATTTAAATCATGTTCTGGTTAATAGACAACAGTACTTTTTTATTTGTTATTACTTTTAAAAAGATAATATCTTTTTTACTTTCAACAGGTTGTAATATACTGTAAAGTACATTATAGTGTTATGATGGCTTATGATGAACATTAAGTTGCTTCTAACTATTTTTCATTTTTATAAGTTATATACAAAAATGCATGATGCTCTGTGCAGAATGTTATTTGCAGTAATTGCAATAAAAGATTGTTTGTCTATCAAAAACAAAGAATGACAATCCAAATGGATCCAAAGTTTTAAAACTGAATAAAAAGCCTAACATTAATTTAATATATAAAAATACAAAAACTTCCTTACATACTATTAAACTGTAAATTTAATCTTAATTAATATTATTACTAATTGCAAGATGAATCTATAAACTCCCAAAAAATCATTTCATGTACTATGAATAAGTCATCTGTACTATGAATATATGAATCTGTTGTGTCATTTAATTCACATATATTAAAATTTATAAGTTTAATATTAAAAAAATTATACAACAGAATAAAACAAATATATAAAATATTTTACATAGAGTTTTGGAATAAACTTAATTTAACCATATATGCTGTTTTTTGTGCAGATTGACCAGCACACACACAAATGGGGAAGACCAGCATACTGGAAACCCTGGGGTTATCAGCATGCCAGTTAAACTGTGATTAAAATATAAAATTAATCAATCTAATAAAACTAGTTGTTAATTAAACATTAAAGAAAACCTTCTTCCAAGTACAGTCGACCCCCCTATAATTACGGTCCCTATAATTACGATTCCTATAAAACTACGAAAAAATATACGTATTTTGGAAATGTTGAGTCAGATTAGTGTAGAATCGATTAATTTTATGGAAGAAAACCTTTCAATCAGCCGTAGTCCGTAAACTTGACACGTGTCGGGCTGTGATTGGAACGACTTGTAAGAAATCGGATTCCTAATAAATTGGAACGTATCTATATCTTATAGGGGGGGTCGACTGTATAATAAAATAACATTAAAATCAGGAAAAGAGTTTTTGTTCACAAGACAATAAAACAATTAATGACTTATTAACATTAAAAATAGTAGTAGTAGTAGTAGTAGTATCAGTAGTTAGGCAGTGTGGGCTACACTGACTATATACCAACCTTAAAAATAATACCATCCTCTCAAATTTCACATGAAGCCAATGTTAATAGGTGCAAGCTGAGATAACTTATGGGAAATTTCTTAAACTTAATGTTTATGTTTGCATTTTTGAATCAAATAACAATAAAATACACATTAAAAAAAAGCACTCTCAAAATTCCACGAGTATTTTACATCATTAGAAAGAAGAAAAAACAAAGAAATTAAACATATAATCATAGTTTTGATGTAATGCTGACAGTTTCACAGTTTTAGAATAAAAACTCATTTGTTTTTTAATGCACCTCTAGAAAGAAATGTATAGCTTTGCTTAAACTGGCATGCCAGCATTCCCCCCAAGATAAGCTGGCATGCTGGTTTTTACCATATGGAAATATCTGATTTCATGGTCTCCCCCGGATTGACCAGCATGCCAGTCATTCTGCAAAAATAAGGTATAAAATTAATCATTAATATTAAATAATAGTAAGATTATTCCTTTGTGCATCATTGTTCAAGGAAAGGTTCTGTTTAGTGTCAACAATATTCTGATTAAATTTGATATTGCATTATTTTTTATAATAAAAATTAGTAGCATCAATATGATTGTAATGTTTCAAGATCTACTTACAATCTTATTCACAAAAACATTGAATGCCAGATACACTACTGTTTTAGCAGCTGCAGAATGTCACAAGATATTCTAGAATTATTTAGTCATTAGATTATATTATTAAACTTACTGTAAACAAATTATTAAGGAACTTATTATTTTTTATTTGTTTTCTCATTAGTTTTACATAACATCAACTACAACGTAGTATACAACATTAATATTGCAATGTTAACTGGAGAAAATAAAATAAGAAAAATTTTCAATTAAACATAGATAATATATAAACTTTGCATTGCTAGATTAATCTTTTAGAGGAGGGAAAAAACCAAAAGATTTTCTTTTTATATATATAAAGTTTAAATCTTCATAAAACAGATCATATACTTTTATTTGGATTCTTTTTTATTTTAAAAATGTATTTCTTTAAACAAAGAAATAATTAAGTTTTTAAAACAACATAG